CTATTTGAGTTTCCATTTCAAAATTAACATTCAATACATAACCATTTTTTCCTCCCAAATGTTCTCCCTTGTTATGAAAACTTTTAAACATATATAGAAGCAGTAAAAATAGTATAATGCACCTCCATGAACTAATGGCCCAGAATCAATAGTTATGAACTGATAAAAAAAAAAACTCTGTTAATCTTATGTCATTTGTAACTCCACCTGCTTCTCCCCACCCCACATTATACCCAAACTGAGCTCCTTCCCTTCTCCAACCATGTTGTTCTCCATTATGTGAATATTTGCCACCATCGTCACATTATCTCCCCAGATTATTCAAATCCCAAAACCTAGAAATCACCTTGGTTTCTCCTTCTCTAACAGCCACCCACCCCCTGTGTGAATCCCACTGGCTGTACCTCTCCTGTTCTCCAACCTACCACCACCACCACCAGCATCTCTCCTGAGATTATGTCAATAGCTTCCATCCCGGCGTCAAAGCCCAACAAAAACCCAACACTCAACCAAGCTAATAAATTACTCTTTAACAATGAAATAAAATTCTTTCTCACTTAACACCTTCTACTGTGCTCAGAATAAAATCCCAAGTCCCTATCCAAGCCCACAGTGATTTGTAGATAGGTCCTGCATACCTCTTATCCTCTCATATACCTACTCTGCTCTGAACTTGCCTAGCTTATTCCTGCCTCAAAACTGTGGCATCTGCCAGGAATGCTATGCACATGGCTGGCTCTTTTCCTTCTTCAAGTCTCAGCTCAAATGTTAAGCACAGATTTAAAATGGTAACTCWGCTCTGGGCCACTCTTGCCTCCCATAATCCTGTTTTATTTCCTTCATAGTGTATATCACGTGACATTCTTTGGGGTATTCACACCACAACAAAGCTCCTCTAACAGCAAGGACCTTGGCTGCCTCATGCACTATTATAACCCCAGTACCCTGAACAGTGCTGGGCATATGTCAGGCACTCAATACATGTTGGCTGAATTTAAAATAAAAATTCATTTTACTTGATTAGGTCCCTTAGGGAAAAGAGTTTTACCTCTTAAATTTGCTTCATTTACTGAACAAAAATGTGTCAGTGAAAAGCACTGCCAYTACATTTTAGAGACTTCCCAGTTTGGGACATAAGCAGCAGTAGTTCAGGCAAATTTTGCTTTCCATAGCTTCTATTTGTAGAACGATAGACTATATATGCACTATCAGTTCATCTCAAGATGAATATTACCACCATTCCTGCTTCAGAAAGTGACTCATCAGGCAGTACAGGTAATCAGCTACAGTGGGATTAATGCTTGCTTATTCTACCCAATGAAACAAGCACTGAGGGTCTACAGCACGTCAGCACTGTGTAAGATAATGTGGTTACAGAGCTACTAAGCTATGCCTTTCCCCGAGGAGCCTCTATTTCCTTTRTGGGCTCCAACTCAGTGACCTGTACACTGCTAAGAGCCACAGGCCAGCTGCCAGAGGGACAGACCGTCTATCCTTCCCTGGAAGTTCACAAGAGCTTATGGCCCAGCCTGCCCACAGCTCCTACAACTACTTTAGATGCTAGGTGCCCAAGGTCCCTCTCTACCACCCTCTGCTTTGTCACTGAGGACACTGTGGTGAGGCTAGGAGTACCAAGCACTGCTTGTCCCAGCTAGTTAATCTTCAAAAGGTTCTTTGACCATCAAGCTCTGATAATCAAAGCAAATTAGGTATAAAACTACTGAAAAAAAGTATTAAAGAGATGTGCCCCTTCTTCACAGAGGACCATAGAATCTCCTCAAAATACATGAGTGATGACGAGCAGAAAATTGTAAAGGTTAAGGTCAGGACATAATCCATTCTCCTGCGAGGCAGCCCCTCCCACTCAAACCCCCACTTGAGCAAAACCACAAGTCAAGCACTGGAAGACCAGCACTGGGAACCATAGGATCCTCAAAAGCCCCCACCCCAGGAACCTGGCCCTTTGGCTTTACTGACTATTCACTGTACCTCAAACTCTCCCTTTTCTTACGCCCAGTAATATGCTGCTCAACAAAACTCTGCCCCGCTTTTTTGTTGTAAGAAGAGCTGATTTGATTAACAAAGATCTGAGTTCAAGAGCCGAGTTCTCCTCTTCCTTGAAGAAGTTCTTTAAACTCAGGCCAACAATACAATTTAAGATGGGACAGTTCTGAGAGTAAAAGGCAGTACTACTAATAATTACTCCTGGAATAAAAGGCATAAACCAACACTATCTCAGACAAATTAKAAAACAGGATAATCCTATCTAAATAGCCGAGTCTTAATTCCCTCACCTGTGAAACAGGAATAAAGACCCCTACACCTGTCAGGGTGGTTGTGACAAGCCAAGTATCAACCTACTATATAATTAAATGCTTTGAAAATCAAAAGGCAACAATACACTAAGGCTTTGTAGAATATGAAAAGGGCTTCTAAAAGCAAACTGATGGTTGCAATAAAATTGGTTTTTCCAAAATCAATTAGGTGCATAAAGTCATTTCTTCAGACCAAAGCACCACTAAAATCTGAGCACAGGGATCTGTATCATTTTCAATGCCTGGCCCCTAGCTCAGTATCTGGCATATTTCCAAACAAATGCATAAAAACTTTAAAAATTGTTTTCATTGCTAAACTCTCCCAAATTGATAATAGCATACACCTTACTCAGTGGCCAATACTCTGCAGTCGCCAAATACAGTGACTCCTCTAGTAAAATGTTAGCCTTACCTGAACAATTCTTACAATATTTACAATATTTCTACTCTTATAATTATCTTCTTTACATTTCTAACGTTACCCAGACTGCTTATTCTTTGGTCTGTAAGGGGAAAAAAAAATGTGAACTTCAATACAATCAAATGTCCTTCAATTCAGAGTCTAGCTTTCTATATCAGCATGACTTCATGACTGTAACCAGCATGACTGGTTACATTTAGAGTCTCAAATAAGAAGCACTAATATCACAAATTGTAATTCCCCAGATTTTCCATAGGGAACACAATGTCCAATGCTGAAAGAATATTTCTTAGCAAATGACTGCTCCAATCTTTAGTCACTCTCAGAGTGAAAACAGGATCTTCTGACCTAGAAATTCTATGCTGGAGCTTTCCTTTGGCCCTGGGAGAAGCTATAAGACATCTCCTGAGCAAGGTTTCCTCTTCTGTAAAATGTGGATGGCTTCCTATCCTTAGGCTACTTCGTGGGCTTGAGGTGAAGAACATATGGACCTGTGGGAGTTTTGTGAAGTACAACTGCATTAAAGGCAAGCTCTGTTACGACCCAAGGTCTGTTCATGTCAAGAAGCCCAGMTCTCTGGCTAGGAATGTCTTGAGGAGGTGGACCTAGCTTTCCCCCCAATTCCTCTCATCTCCTCCCAATTCTCAGTCTATTTAGAAGAATGGAAATTAGAAACAAAAGAGAAGAGGAACTGCCATTGGAAAAATCCTTCTCCAAAGTAGTTACTTGATTAGAATTTTAATCCTATAATTTTCGGATATCTGAGCACCAAAATTTTCAACTTTTCAATCAAACTATTAGAATTCACATGAATTTTCTTTGTCCTAAACTTCCAAAATCACCCCTACYCCAAAGTCCCAATAATTTTGTCCTATAAAATTCTAAAATGACTACTCTAATTCAGGGACTGGCAACCATTACATATAGGTCAACTTTGTTTGGGAAATCATGTTTTATTAGAACTGTCACACCAAATTGTGTACATATCACAGATGTTTTCACATTATAAAGATAGTTTGGTAGTTGTTGTACTTGCGATTTTATGTTATCCAATAGAGTATAGTCAAACTTTGCCAACTTTTTCTTAATTCACRTGAGAATTAGTGCTAGTAGTTGTAAATGAAACAATACAGACCATAAAGCCTAAAATATTTGCCATCTGATCCTTAAAAAGTTTGGCAACACTTCTCTAATTTATCTACCTCAAAACTGACAGGTAAGAGCACAGTCCAAGCCTCTCAACCAGTTTTCTTCACACTGACAGACTTTTCACTCCTTAAAAATAAATCTTAACAAACTTCACATTTATGGAATCAGTATTTTTGTGTGGACAAAGTATTTTCAGATTGATCATCAATGGGAAAAGTATCTTCCCACATGCTTATGAACCCACTCTCTTGAGCTAATTTTACAGACTTAAACACACACACACACACACAAAAAAAAAAAAAAAAACCACCATGAAGCTGAATGAACATTACCCTCAGTCCATCCCAAAGCAATTTTCTGAAAGCAGAATTAAATTAAAGTAGGGCCTAAACATTACAGAATCTCCTTCTACTACACTAAAACTACTAAGCCAATACAATTTATGATCACGTTTGTAGAAGTGTAAAAAAAGCTTTTTATTTTTAATAGTTTAAACAGACTCCTAATACTAAGCTAAACGTTTCTGAATAYGTGAAAAACACTCAAAAAAGCAAAATCAAATATCCCATTTATGTTTTTAAATGAAAATAGTTACTCACTGAGGTAAAGGGTGAGGATCCTTTAGCTCCCAGCCCTTGACACCCCTTCAGGTGGCAGATTAACTCTCTATAGTCTGAATATGGTGGAAAAACTGTACACCTTCCTTTCTCAGATGTTAGTGCTTTCTCCCTTGATGAAATAGGAAGTGTGGTTCTAAAGTATGGATGAACAAGGATTTGGAGACACGGTGTCCAAAAAAAAAAAAAAGAAAAAAGAAATGATAAGGTATTCATAAAATATAGACTCTCTAAGTAGTTCTATCTCTAAAGTAACTCTAAACATCAAACCTGTGAGGATATTTCCCTTAATGCTGCCATACTCCAGCCTTCAAAAATTAACTTAACCCATTCATTTCAAGCTTAAAGGAAAAATTGAAGACTTTTGTCATCTTTTCAAATTATCACATATCCTTAGAAATTTTCAGAAAAGAACAAACTTGCCTTCCTCATAAGCCTGTCATAACCATGCACAAACTGTCCAACCAGAAAAACCTGTCATGCCCAAAAGATACAGACCTCCCGGCGAACGACACTTGCAGTTCTCTCCAAGTGATCAGTTTTCCTTYTGGATTTCATTATGCTTTAATAAAAAGTAAAATTAGGTTATTAAGTATTATCCTCATAAAAATAAATTATTTTCCCCTGTAATATCACAGTTATCCAAAATACAACATAATTATGGATCCTATAAAATGGTCAGAAGTTTAATGATCTATTAATGATAGGCATCTTTAAGCCAAGATGCTGCCTCTTTCTGGAGTCTGATATGCTTCACGMAACTCTCAGCAGCTCTGAAGGCTTAATGACTCACCTTGTGAAAGTAAGGGGGCGAGAAGTGCTGGATGTCAACTTCGAAGCAGCAGCCGGAGTGCACACTGCTCCCACATAGCCACGAAACAACCCAGAAATCAAGAAAGCAGCACAGGCCATGGTACTTCCTGGGCAAACAAAAGAATGAAGTTTAAAATTATTTTAGGAAAAATTGGGGAAACATCAGACTATTTAAAGAAACAGTGAAAAAGAGTTTCAATCTGTTGGTATAGTTATGAGTTGTTCAATTAGCAAAGGGCCTGACTTTACCTGACAATTTTTGCAATCATTCAGAACTGATTCACTGTAACTGTACAGCATGTAAGTATGCAATTCTTGATGCTAACAGTCATGAATCACTTAATAATGGGGATACATTTTGAGAACTGCTTCATCAGATGATATTGTCATTATACAAACATCATAAAGAACTTACACAAACCTACATAGCATAGGTTACTCAATATGGCCTCTTAATGCAATCAAGAAATGCAATAACCATGAGATAAAAGGCTGCTGCCAGCATAACACGGCATATTGCTTTATAGTAAACTTTACAAGTAGCAATACAAGAGCTGGGATTGTGGCTCAGCAGTACAACACTTGCCTAGCATGTATGAGGCACTGGGTTCAATTCTCAGCACTGCATATAATAAAATAAACGTCAACTGACAAGTAGCAGTACGTAATTATACATGCTATACTTTTATATAAGCKACAGCACAGTAGGTTTGTTTACACTAGCATCATCACAAGCATGAGTAACATGCTGTTCTGAGATGTTACAAAGGCTTCAATGCCATAAGGCAACAGGAAATTTTCAGCATTATAATCTTACAGAATGGAAGATATGGTCATATATATATAGTCCTCTGAAGACAGAATCATGCAGCATGTGGCCGATTTGGGAGATCAAAAGAGAACATGTATGCAGACACAAGCTGCAAAATTTGTTTACTCTATTAGTAGCCTTTTTGGATATTTTCTAGTTTGGGATATTCTGAAAAGTATTCTTATATGTTTTGGTTTTTAAAYATTTGGGAACCTCAGTAAATTTGTCTTCCTCTTTCACTAATTTCTGGCAAGAAATATTAAAGAATTGGATGGTGCTCATCAGGTCAAATACAGTTCAGTCTACTCTCTGGGCTGGAGCTCACTCAGTGGTACAGCACTTGCCTTGCAATGTGTGAGGCACTGGGTTCAATCCTCAGCACCACGTAAAAATAAAAATATGTCCATCTTCCAAYTAAAAAAWTTTTTTTTAAATCTACTCTGCTTCTGTAATAGCATAAAATTAAACCAGGTGGTGATACAAGTCAGACATATTTAGTCAGCTGTAACCACATCAGATATTTAGTCAGCTGTAACCACATCAGATTTTAAAAAGCCCAATGCTTTGTAACTAGTCTTTAGATAAAAACTCTTCTTGCCATTGTATGATGCAGCTTGATTGCAAATAAACATGCCATGGGCTACTTTTTTCTAGTAAATGGAAAAAAAGCATAAGGCCTTTTCACCTCATGCAAGATTACTAAATGTAGTTTCTCTCCTTTAAATGTGCTAAACCAAAAATGATTTTTCATCACCAAAAGAAGGTGAAACTTACTTTAGAAGTCCATGAGATTTTAGGAGTCATTCAAGGTATGGCTGGTTCACTGACTGACACAGTCTGCTCCTGGTATTACACTGACATCTCTGGATGTACACTGGCTGGAACATGGAAAGTTTTTCCTTATACTGACATTCTCACCAAGTTCCTGTGRTAACAGGGACAACACGTAAAAACAATGTTTTGGGAAACTCAGAAAAAGACCTAGTAAGTATCAGTTGTGAAAGGAAAGGCTCATTGTAATCAGAGGCATGAGCTCACAGCAARGCCATTCTCAATTCTTCCCCCTCATGGTTCCACTTCTTTTTTTTATCTTATTGCTTCTCTTGTTCATCCTCCTGCTTAGATACCCACCTCCTTAACTTAGGATACCCACCCCATGAAATACCTTTCTATACTGTTTTCATCCTGCCATCTGTTGACCACCTGCCCTGTCTGGCCACTGGTGGTTCCTCTTATGGTTCTGCTCAGTTTGAGATCCTACCATGATGAAAAAAGTACAACCACAGTCACAGGCTAAAATSACAGATGTCACTTGAGATCAGGTTCCCCAATTAAATTTAACTGCTATACAGTTAAATAGAAAATATTGTTCTGTTTTAGACAGCTACTGCTAAAATAAATTGTCTTTATGATAGGATACATCTTAGTGACTATGCTGTTTGAATAGACTACTTCTCAACTGGAAGCAAATTTTAATTTTTAAAAGCTGTTCTCTTAAAATTCTAAAATTCTGTAATAATAATCATGACCAAGAATGCCACCTACTGGTAAATAAAGAGCATTTTTTAAAAATATTCAAAGTGCCTTTCTAAGTTTTTAATGCCAGACCTTAGAATAAGGTATTTTWAAAAATTACCCACTTTTACCTGTCCAAGGATTTTACTCACATATCCAAAGGGTTTAATCAAAGGAGATCAACATATATTAAGTAATTTCCAAAACTATATAATGAATATTCCATAGATGTGTATATCCTCACAAACTACCCAAAATTTGTAACTATTTCTAAAACAGAAAAATTATCATAAATGATAAAACTGATATCCATAACAAAGTACTAAAGCAAATTACTGGAAGGAACAGATTAAATTTAAGATTTGAGACAAATTACAGTGATTTCAGTTCAACAAATACATTCAGTTCATTCAACAATTCCAGGATGCCAGGCACTATTTGTCATGTCATGGAGTAAGTAGGTGGGGGAATATCAGGGTAGGTCTCTCTGAAGTGATCATACTTGAGCTGAAACCAGAACAATTAAGAGGCAACCAAGCAGATGTTAAGGGCAGAGCATTCTGCCACAGGGATAAGCAAGAACAAAGGCAAAAACAAGGGAAAAGTCTAGCATGTTAAAGGAACCAAGGTCAGTGACACCAGAGAGCAGTATGGTTAACACTTTAGGCTAAAATTTARTAATCTACATGAGAATGAAAGGAAATTGAGCAAGTAATTGAGACCCAAATCACAGTAGGCCATGGCAAATGGACTTTACCCCAAGTCACTAGGAAGCAACTGAAAAGTCTGAATAAATCAGGAGGACATAATCTATTTTTAAATGATTACCCAGGTTGCTGTGTGAAGAATGGATTATCCAAGGGCAAAAGTAGAAAGCAGAAAATATAGTTAGGAGGTTCCAGTCTAAAAGTACGGTAGGAACTAGATGTAGGCATGGTGGCGCACTCTGTAATCCCAGGCACTCAGGAGGCTAAGGCAGGAGGATCACAAGTTCAAAATTTGTAACTATTTCTAAAACAGAGAAATTATAATTTTTTTAATTTTAAAACTGATATACCTACTCCATCTCCAAGGAGATAACATGACAAATAGTGCCTGGCATCCCCGGAATTGTTGAATGAACTGAGTGTATTTGTTGAACTGACATCACTGTAATTTGTCTCAAATCTTAAATTTAATCTGTTCCTTCCAGATTAAATTAAATAGTTGCCCAGCACTGGCAAGTGAGACCTTGTTTCAAAATAAAAAAAAAAARRRRGGGGRCTGAAGATGTAGCTTAGTTATAGGGTGCCCTTGGGTTCAATCTCCAATGCTGAGCAGGGGGAGGGGCATTATGAAAGGATAAGAGCTATAGAGATGACAGAAATAGATTCACATGAAATTATTTTGAAATTAGAGCCCTACAACTTGCTGATAAATTAGATGAGATAGGACAGCAGAAAATGCAACAAGAATGCCTCAAAGACCACGAATCCCCTGAAATGAAGTAAATTTGAAGACCAATCTGGCACCTGTCAATTCAGAAACCTAGATGTCACAGAGGAAGCAATGGGACTCCAGGGGTTGGTAAGGAAAACTCAGTGGTATACTAGTGGTATGAGGAGTGTGCCTGACTTTGAATCAGTGGACTAGGCTCAAGTTTGACTCCTTCTTGCCCTTTTTCAATCTTGGGCAAAGCATCTTTTACCATTTTAACAACACCCACATTGCTTCACTAGATTGCTGAAATGAATAAATAACACCTGTGAAGTACCTGGTAAGCAAGAGTGTTAATACAAAATCCTTAAAAACTTAAAAATCCCCTTCTCCTTGCCAAATGACCTATAGAAGTAGTGATTTGATAGTGCCAATAAACAACTTCCCCTGGCCTGAAATATAACAGCAGTCAAATACAGTTCGTTACACAGTTAAGACCCAGTTCTAAATCTGATATTATACTAAGAATTTTGGTCACTATTACTTTCCATATAAACAATGTTAACATTTATGGTAAAAAGATAAACTTGTGATCTCAAATGACCATAGGAACAAGCAAATCTGCTTCTGTCACACTCCCAGGGTTCAAAAATGTGTATTTACAAAATGTGTCTATTCCCTGTTAGGAATAAATGTAAAAATCAATAGTCACTGAATGTTTTCTTTGAGTAAAAAAAAAAAAAACGAAACAAAAAATGAACATACATCATGTGCTTCACTATGGTTTCTTTGTTCACAGTCAAGCTCAAACTGGTCAGAACCACAAGAGGAACCACCTGTGGCCAAAGGGGATGAACAACAGGTGGCAAGATAAAAGCAGTAATGGAAGGCCTAGAATAATCCCGCCCCCCATCCCCAACACTAGGTCTCCGGGGAACCAGCATAACCAAATCAATGTTCGTTTCAACTAGCCTGCTTGAAACGCCATCACATCATAAATGGCATTGCAGTTAATTAAGAGCCTAAATTCTAGGATCAGAAAGATCCGAGTTGTCACCACGGCTCACTGCAACTCACTAATTTGCCTTAACCATCAGGTTTCCCAATGTTAATGATACCTATACCTCAATGGGTTGTTTTAACATAATGCCTACAAAGGATTTGTACAGTGCCTGGCACATGTCAACGACCAATAAGTGGTGTGTTGCTTTTTCCATTTTAGATAATTCTTAAAGTTATAAAATTACAAAGAGAAACTACCTGACATCCCCTATAACTTTTAGGATTTTAACCTAAGATTTTTAGATGCTCCAGCAAACTGGTGTGTTTTGGGTGGGTTTTTTTTTTTTTTTTGGGGGGGTAGTGGGGATTAAACCCAAGGGTGCTTAACCACTGAGCCACATCAGCCCCTTTTTTATATTTTATTTAGAGACAGGATCTCTCGCTAAGTTGCTTAGGACCTTGCTAAGTTGCCAAGGCTGGCTTTGATCCTCCTGCCTCAGCTTCCCAAGCAGCTGGGATTACAGGCATATGCCACAATGCCTGGCAGCAAACTGTTTTAAGTAAGTCCAAATTGCTTTCCAAAAGGCCTACAAGGACTGTATTTCTAGCTCAGTGAAACAGCATGTGCTTAACTTGCACACRGCCCTAGGTTCAATTTCTAGCACCAAAGAAAAAATATATATATTTTATATAACATATAATATAAATGAACCTTCCAATTTATGCTTCCTATAAAACAAAACATGACTTGCATTCATTTCTGTATATTCAAAAGTGGCTCATATAAGAATTAAAGACAGTTCTGTAATCAATGGAACTAAACAATTCCGCCTATCTCCAAAAGATTATCTGGGAAGTATTTGTGTCTAAGTGATACCAAGAGCAACCACACAGCTGTGTGGGCTTTAATGGGATTTCTCCAGACACACCTGAATCTCCACAGTTAACCTTCAACAAGTTTAAATGTTACCTAATTGCTGGGTACATCTCCAATTTAGCAAAAATCGTTTGTGGAACCTCTGAAATGACCTTCTACCAACTCCATTAATGTACTTCTGGAATTTTCTCCCAAAGACTTCTCTGCCTTCATGTTTTCAAGCTTTAAAAGAGCTTGAAGACACACAACTGCAATCCCAGCTACTCAGGAGACTGAAGCAGGAGGATCTAAAATTCAAAACCAATGTGGGCAACTTCCACATACCATACCTCAAAATAAATTAAGGGCTGGGGATAAAACTCAGCATGAGAGGGCTTGCCTATCAGGTATGAGGCCCTGGGTTCTATCTTTAGTACCACAAACAAAAAGTAAAACACAAGGGCTAAAATCCAAGCAGAGCTTATCCAGTGTGCACAAAATKGATAACTTCATGGAAACACTTGAGTGTAAGTACATAAGCATAAGGATGTATTAAGTATGTGTTATGAAAATGTGAAGTTTTATTTGATCGCCAAACCAAGTGAGACTCGATTTCCAAGTAAAAGAAGAATGCTAGTGAAAAGGATCTTGGAATCATCTCCAGCCCAATGTTTTCTTGAAGAGAAATAGGCCTGAAGAATGTAAATCTCCAACCAGAGCTCATTTGCAATCGAGTCAGATTCTAAGTCACGATCTTCTGGTTTTCAACAATGCTTTTTCAACACTGCATTCCTTTTCTACTGRTATGTGAATAACTGCCTAGTAATGGAGTAGTACCCCATTGTGAGGAGGTTGTACCAAAACAGGTACTAGCACTATTTTCAAAGAAACCACTTTTTATTGGCATTTAGCTTCAGGATATACACAGGCCTCCTACTGATAATCTTACGTACCCACACCGTACCCACACCGTTCGTTTTACAAAGAAACTGGGATTCGCATTAGTAGTCTGTTCCTGGGCTTTGGAGATGGCCAGGCTTTTCATTATTTCCAAGGTAAGTGAGGTTAGTCAAGATGCCCACTCTGTACCTCAGTTTAAAGATTAATAAAATGGATCCCCAGGTTTAATGGGAGAATTATACTTTGCTCAATACCTGGCACATAACAACTACCAATAATAAGAATAACAACAATAACGTTACTGTTACTACGTATCATAATAGTTAATGATATTATGTGCCTGGCAAATATATAACTAGAATTCAGTCCCCGCCTTCCAGATCTTGACTTCTCAGCAACACAAAACGGGATATTTGAAGATGTCTGGGGTGAAGGAAGAGGCGGGTATGTACCTGCGCCAGGAGATATAAGTTGGGCTTCGCCCTGGGCTCAAGGTCACTAACTGAAGCGAAACTCCAGGAGAGCTGGTTGTCTGTCACCCGTGAGGGGCAGAGAGCACGCTGAGCTGCTACTACCGCTGTCTGGAACCAAAGCGACGCCCTCCTCTTCCTGAGGGCCAGGTGGGTGAAAGCTGCAGCCCTCAGAGGGCCGTTTGAGACCTCCCTGAAGTCTGCGACGGGCTGCACACTCCCGGACACTTACTTTATAGCCCAGCTCCAAATTCCACGCCTCCGCCGTGGAGCCTCCTAGGTCCACGGGGTGACGTAATGGCAGCACGAGCGAGCCTTACATGCTATTGGTCGCTGCTGTCCAATGGGAGTAGGGCTGCGCGACACTGCTGAGCAGGAAGCGCCATCTTTCCAGTGTCTCTGCCCGTAACTCAATCATTTCCATGGTGACCGCGACCCGGTCACCCATTTGGCGGCCAAGGCCGGAGTTGCGTCATTGTCTATGCGCCGGAAGCTGTAGTTCCTGCCCCAGAGCGTGGTCACGGCGCCGGGTCCCAGCCGGCTTTCGGGAAGTTAGACCTACAGAGGCGTTGTCAGACGGCTGGGGCACCTGACCTCTGCCGGCCCCAACGACCCCATGGCAGTGTTTCACGACGAGGTGGAGATCGAGGACTTCCAATATGACGAGGACTCCGAAACGTATTTCTACCCCTGTCCGTGTGGGGATAACTTTTCTATCACCAAGGTAACTTCAGGGACCCTCGCAGGGACTCACTAGAGCAGGCGCGTTTTCGCTGTGCTCTGTTCTTCGCGTATTTGCTTTCAGTCATCCTTGCGGCCCTGAGTCCACTTATGTTCTGTGTTCCCAAACCCATCCCTCTCCCTGAACTCTCAGCGAGCACATCATTCTGGCCTTCAGTTTAGCCCGGGAGTGGGTGTCAAGGAGAGCCGGTTTTGTTACTCCCCGGTCTCTCTTAAGGGTCTCTTCCCGGGATACTTCTTTGGAAGAGGGGAATCGTTTTTGTTTCCCAGGGGGTTTGAGGCAACGGAACCTCTCCTGACCTTCCTGAGTGTTTCCCTTTAAGCGAGGGAGAAGGCTCTTTGGGCTCGCACCCACCTTGCAGGGAGGCAAGCCACATAGAGGTGGGAGAGGTTTGATGGGGAGGAGATAGCGAAGGGAAGATCGTGCTGACCAAACGTTGTTTGATTTCGTTATAGGAAGATTTGGAGAATGGGGAAGACGTGGCAACGTGTCCTAGCTGCTCTCTCATTATAAAAGTGATTTATGACAAAGTAAGGGGTAAGGGGTCAATTTTAAAATGGGGGGGGGGGCGGAGTGTGAGACAATGGCAAGGACCTAGAGCAGCCTGGCTGTAATAAGTAAATGCAGAAGATTGTTCCTTAACAAGGTGCTGGGTTAAGCGCGCGCTGTTTTTGTTTTTTTAAAACAAGCTTTAAAAATTACTAATTAACAGCCATATCATAAATTAAAATTTACAATTCTGATTATGTAACTCGTTTTAGCTTTGAAGAGAGTGATAAAGAAAACTGCTCTTTAATGGAAACGATTATGTATTATATAGAAGAAAAATAATTTTAAATGTCTTAGTTGACACTCTGTTCCTCTATTTCATATGTAACTAAATTATTTTCAGAGCCCCTGGTTACATTTTGACAGGAACAGTTACTTATTATTTCTTGCTTAGCTTATATGTAGAACTTGAGTATCTTGTTTGAATATAATTCCTCATTGCCATTTTGAAGTTGCATTTTATTCTTCAGTTATCCTATTGCCTTTCACAAGGATATTGATGATAGAAAAAAACTACTCTCCCCCCCCCAAAGTTTTATTTTTCTAATGGATTCTTAAAGATGAACTCTAATATTAGTATAGGGAAAGTGCAGACAAGACTTCAAGAGAAGTAGGCTATAATTTAGACCATAATGTAGAACTTGAATAATTTATTCTTTTGTTAAAATGTATTCTATAACAAATCTGGAGTGCCAGTCTGGGAGGAGGCTATAATTTAAAATAAGGTAATAATGACAATATTTATTAAGAAAGGCCTTATATAAGTAAAGATTTGAAAGAGATAAGAGAGAGAGCTATTTACATGTGTGACATAGAGTTAGGCAAATTAACATTCATTGATGAGATCTTAAGGCAGGAATATACCTGGTTTTGTCAAGGAAAAAAAAGGCCAGTGACCAGAGCAAATGAGGGTGAAGGTAGTTCAAGATGAAAAGAGTGGGGCAGATCACAAAGATTTAAAGAGACACTTTGACTTTTACTGTGAATGATGGAGGGAACCACTGGAGGATTTTTAAACAGAAATGCTATAATCCCACCTATGTTTTAAAAGGATGATTCTGGCTACTGTGTTCAGAGTAGACTGAGGGAGCAAGGAGAGAAATGGGAAAAACAAATAGGCTGTTACACTAACCAAAGCAAGAAATGGCTTAGACTGGAGCAATGCAGGTGGTGAGAAGTGGTTGGATTCTATATACACTTTGAAAGATAAGGATTTTCTTGCTGGTTGGATGTAAAGTATGGGAGGAATCGGGTGATTTTACCATTTTTGGTCTAGCTAGAAGGGTAGAATTACTAACAGCTGGGGTTACAGAACTATAGGTGCACAGGTGGGAGGTAGATATACTAAGTTTGAGAAGGCTATTTGACATCCAAGTGGAGCTTCTGAGAAAGCAATTGAATATGCATGACAGCTGGCAGTATAAATTTGGGAGTTACCAGCAAAAAGATAGTATTCAGAGCCAGGATATTGGATGAGATCCCCAGGACTTTGAATATAGATGAAATGGACAAAAGAAAGAACTGAATCTTGAGGTGCTCTAGTATTAAAAGGTCAAGGAAGAAGTTAAGGAATGTGCAAAGCTAACTGAAAAGGAGCAAACACTGCAGAAGGAGGAAATTCAACAGTGCCATATCCTGGGAGCCAGATGAGAAAAGGGGGAGGAATGAGATTCTTGTCAGATTCCACTGTTAGAAGAAAACTGAGAATTAACTATTGGCTTTGGCAACACACAATTAACTTATGATGGTGTTGAGAGCAGTTTCAGGGAGGGACTGGGGACAGCTTGATTGGAGAAACCTGGTAGATGGGAAATAGTTCGAAAGAATGGGGAAATAGGGGCTGGGGTTATGGCTCAGCAGTAGAGCACTTGCCTGGCATGTGTGAGGCCCTGGGTTCAAATCTCAGCACCATATATAAATAAATAAAATAAAGGTCCATCAACAACTAAAAAAAATCATTCTTTAAAAAAAAAGAATGGGGAAATAGGAGTCAATAAGTGTGGACATTTCTTTAAAATGGTTTGCTACAAAGAGAAGCAGAGACATGGTACAATAACTGGTAATGATAAAGGATTATCAGAGGTTTTCAGGTCATAACTCCTCAGCTCCATCATTGTAGACACTGGAAGTTAGATTTCACCATTGTTGTGGTTTTGCCAAGCGGATATAATTGACCATGGAATGTGAACTTAGGTAAAGAGAACATCTAGATGAGGGACTCTGAAAAGGTGGTAGGGATAAAGAAGAGGTCCAGAGGGGTTGAAATATGGGATTTGGGATGGATAGATGCAGTAACAGAGATTAGTGATGGTATGGTCTCATGAGATTAGATTCAAAGTTGGTTGATTTTAGACAAGGGAAGAGAATGGTGACAGAAAAGAGCCAATCCCACTTCCAAGCCCTGTGTGTACTAGGGCTCTGAAAACACTAGAAGGGGACATAGAGGAAACTGCCCTGGGTTATAACTTCATCTCAACCTAGCATTGTTGTGCAGAGCTCACCTGTACTTAGTAGAATGTTTAGCTGCATCCCTGGGCTCTTCCCATTAAATGATAGTAAGCAACCCTCAGGTGCATCAGCCTAAAATGTTTCCAGACATTAGGGGCAAAGGAACACTTTAAAGAAGAGTTGAGAATAAGGACCATTGTGGACCATGAATTCCAAAGAGCAAGGTAGAAGAATTCCAGAGGCAGGAAAAGTAGTAGCTGATCCTTCAGGGATCAGATTGCAGGGGTAGCCTGGGAGGCAGAGTATTCTTGTGGCAGTTGACATAAATCAGGATAAATTATCAGAGATTGAATTTCATTTAAAAAGTAGCTAACATTAAAGATTATCTGTGTTGGAAAAACACATAAAGACATATTTCTTCTAGTTGAAAGAAGGGATTAGTTTGAAAAGGTTATAACTTCAAATGACCAAAATTTGAAATAATGAATATAAAAACTTAGAAAATGTAACATGCCCTTACATTATTTCCAAGAAATGGTAGCTTGCAAGTGAAGATGGGCATGTTTATAAGGCATTTATTAAATGATGAATTCAGTACTGAATACCAGTATACTTTTAAAATTTTAATTCTAGTTCTGGCCTTGAACAAGAATGAAGCAATATAGCAATGGGAGAATTAACAACTGTATTGAATCTCTAACAAAATGAAGGTAATATTAATATACCTATGATATAGAACTCAATGTCATTTCTCATTCTGTCTTAGGATCAATTTATGTGTGGAGAAACAGTCCCGGCCCCTTCATCCAACAAAGAATTAGTTAAATGCTGAAGAAACCTTCAGGAATCCACATCCTGAA